AAAAAGAAAAAAAAGAAAGGATATGGGAAAGGAAAAAAAGATAAAATTAGAGCAAAAATGAAAAAGACACAGGAAAGGAGATATATGAAAGAGGAGTAAGCAAAATGGAAGAAAGAAAAAGAAATGTAGGAAAAAAACAGAGATGATTTATGATCACATAATTTCAAAAAGTAAAATTTTTAAAGTTTAGAAGTTAATATCTAGCTATCAGAATTTACTAATAATGTTTATACTCATCTAATAAAATGGGTAGATAAGAATGTGAGAAATTGTATGAATGCATAGTTAGTATAATGAAATAGCTATTTGGCCTCTAACAAACATACAACTAATTTACTACAAAAACCACACAGAGAGTAAAATCCAGTATGTAGGTAGGCTTCAAGGGCATCTGAAAACTAATTTAAATAATCTAGATGAGAAATAAGAACATTTGCATAGAAAAGTCAAAATAGAAGGGAAATAAGCCGTATATATTACAGCATTATTTTAGAGCTAGAATAACTTTTAGATATTTTACAACACTGTATTTAAAAATTGAGATAGAGCATATACATTTATAATTCTTAAATTTTAAGTCTTAGAAGAAAGTAAAACATGAAGTTAGACACTTGCATCATTTTAGGTCTCAGGAGAGTAATTAATATGCATATTTGTAATTTTTGAAAACTATTCTCCTTAATATAAAATAATCACTCCAATGTGTTCTCGAACACAACTAGGACATGATGACTTTTAACTCTTATTTCAAGAATGTATATTATCATAAAAAATTTGTACCTGGAATAGATGACTAGATAAACAAATATTCTCAAGTAGATATTTTAAAACTTTAGTGTATGATGATGTAGTCAATCTATTTAAAAGTCATAAAAATTAGATAAAAGTTGTCACTGTAAAAAAGTCATTGTTCATAACCAGAGAGATCTGAACTAACATAAAAATAATTGTGCACTAAAGTTTTGTTGCTATTACTAGGGGTTTTTTTTGGGGGGGGTTAATGATGTTAAAAATGTAGAAATTATTTTTTTGCAAAAGACAAACAGAAAGCAATCAAACACATTGAAGGTTTACATGATACAACAGTTTAATTATTTGCTTTTATACTTTTCTCTACTTGTACTCAGCAAGTTACATATATTTAGGAAAGATATTCAGAGTTTTTATCAGCAGTAATCAATAATGAACTATACCTAAGATGTGCTGTCTTCTAAAACCTGCTCATTCTAGGTTTAGTATGAAACACAAATAGTAATTTCAAAAACAAGTATCTCTGAGAAAGGTTAAAAGAAGTACACGGTAAAACTGACACCTAGAAAAGCTCCTAATTTATTAAAGTAAATTGATTTAATAAGCCCACTTACGTGTGCCTTAAGGTGAATACTTGAAAATAGTAAAAAAGTGAAAAATGTTTTTACTATTACAATAGTAAAAATAAAAAATTTTAAATGTATTAAACATTTAACAAAATTCAACAGCTGTCAATGGAGACAATTATCAGAAAATAAGAATAGAAGAAAAATTCCTAAACTGTATAAAGAATATCTCCCAAAAAGAAAAAAATAAAAACTATAGGTAGCCTCATACTTAATGACAAAGTTTGAAAGTTTTCTCCCTGGGTAAAAAGGTCCATCTTTCTCCCCATATTCATCATTGCACTGAAAACCATACCAAGTTCGACAAGGCAAGAAAAATGAGTGAGGGATATAGAGTTAGAAAAGAAATGTTCACAGATAATATAATTATATTTACAGATAATATTATTGTATGTGAAATTAATAAAGAATCAAAAGAAACAAAACTTCCTAGAATTAATAAATGAATTAAGTAACCATAGTTGCTACTTTCGAGGCTATCACAAAAAAAATCAATCATATTTCTAAATTCTAGAAGAACTATTAGAAAATAAAACATCAATGCAGTTCATTTCCATTGCCTTCATAAAAATTAAACACTCAGTGAAAAAATACATGTTTAAAAACTTGTATGGGATTTCTATGCTGAACATGATAGAAATGATGACATAAATCTTAAAAGACCTAAATAAATAGAGAGCTATTTCATTTGTATGGATTGGAAGACTCAACATAGTAATGATGTTACTATTCCCTCAAATAATCTATACCTATAATTCCTTTCAAACTCCTAGCAGAATTTTCTGTAAATATAAACAAGATGATTCTTAATTTAATTAGGAAATGCAAATAAACTATAATAGCAAAAACAATTTTGAAAAAAGAGTCAAAATGTTGCTCTAGTTTAACACTTACTACTCTTGAAGTCATACTGATTAAGATATTGTCATACTGCCAAAATAATGGGCATATAGATAAAACAAACAAACGATGTTATTCAGAAGTAGACATACCTAAATGTGGATAACTGATTTTTGACAAAGGTGCCCAGACAACCAATGGATAATTCAGTGGAAATGAACTGAGACCTACACTTCACTGTGCACACACACAAACGAGCATGCAAAAACACTGAAATGTGAATGACAAATATGAATACAACACACAAAACCACAACAGTTTAGAAAGAAAATTAGTAGAAAATCTTTGTGAGCTCATGTTAAGCAGTTTGAAGATATAGTACCAAACCATGATTCAAGGTGGTAAAAATGAATGATAGATTTGCAAAAGACAATTATTAAAATACTTAAATATATGCTACAGACTTTGGGAATGTTTAATACTTGTACAAAA